TGTACCGATTTCATCGCGTCCGGCTACGATCATCGGCGTAAACGATCGGCTCAACCTGAGAACTGGGATGCGCTCCTCAAGGAACGGGATGGAGACGAGTTCGGCGCCGAGGTCAAGATGTACATCGTTCCGTATGCGCAGCAGACGGCGACTGGTGATAAGAAGACTGAGGACGGGCGCATTATGCAGCCCTGGGCAGCGAAGCCAGGGCACGAAGTCAACGAGAATTGGAGGGTCGCAGGGCCGGACCAGGATATGAAAGGTGAAGTAAGGATCATAGCAAAAAGAGGCAAGAGGTCAAGAGCCGTACAGCTGGGACTCGCCGGGAAGAAGACCTGGGAGGAACTGAAGGGCAAAGAGCCAGGCGGCTTTGCCCCCGAAGGTAAGTCTCATTCCAACTTCTGCAAGTTCTCAGCTCACACTGCGCAGGATGGATACCGTACCACAACGACATGGCCGACGCGGTCGCGTGGATATATGGGGGCCACGGCAGAAGGATACAACTGGCCAACGCCGCTCTGAACAGTTGACTACATGGCTTCACAACACAGCCGGTTTACGCGCCCTGGATGTCGACCCAAACGTAAGGGTGGCTGGCGGCCGGATCCATGACCATGCAAGCCCTTGTCGGCATTTAGGCTGTATGCACCCGACACTAGGGTACGGCAAGTATAATTTCCTAGACACGTTCCTACACGCCTCTAGCACGCGGCGTAGCGCGCAAATAGCACAAGGTGGCTGAGATGTCTTACACAACGCGCTGTGATGATAAGGCAGAGTGGTGCGCGACAGGACAGATGCTTCGGCGAGCAACAGAATGCAGTGTGTATTGGAAGGGTACAGCTGCATTATTGTGAGTGATTGTGCACGACTATTGTGATACCGAACTGGATTTCCCTTTCCCTGCCGTCTACATCATCGCGTAGTATTGTATTACAAACGCTCGCTAGTCCTCGTGGCGTGTACACCCGCGCAACGCTCTCTTCGCCGCTGCTCTGCAGTGAGCGAGGGACTGCCCGTTTCGCGCATCCCTTCGCTTGTCCGAAGTGAAGGAAGGCGCCTTACAAATACCACTAGGCACTACACGCGGTTGCCTCTGAACGACCGTCGTCTTTTCACTTCCTCAACACGGGACCAAAGACGCGGCACTGCGCATCGCTTGACTGTAACAATTCGGCCGCCTGCTCTACCTTGTCAGGCTTCTTATCCTCATTCTCATGCGCGATAGCTTTCCGCTACACCGGTTCCCGCCAACATGGTAGGCACACTGCTCTGCGCAAGCCAACCAATCACTGACGGTCACTAGATCCAACTACTCGCCATCGTTCTCATGTCTGCTCTCCACGCTGGATCGTCAATCGCCCAGCAGTATCCACTACCTGTAACCTATGACACCGTTATCAAGTCGCCTGCAGACCCGCGCATCACCATATCCTACAAATCACCCGACGCCCACGTATGCGCAACGGCGTTTGAGACGCAGAAGCAGTATACTGGATATGTCAACATTCCCCCGTTCACGCTGTCGCCGGCCGAGCAAAACTACCCAATCAACACCTTCTTCTGGTTCTTCGAAGCACGTGAGAATCCAGAAACCGCTCCGTTGACCATCTGGCTCAGTGGAGGACCTGGAAGTTCGAGCATGATTGGTCTCTTCTCAGAACTGGGTCCATGCGAGCTGGTAGAAGGGCCAAACGGCAGCTACGTCTCTCAGCCTAGGGTTTGGGGATGGGACCGCAGCTCCAACATACTCTTCATCGACCAACCCACGCAAGTCGGCTTCTCGTATGATGAGCGCGTCAACGTTTCGGTCGACTTCAGTACAGGCTATTGGGCAGATCTGGGCCAGCGCCTAGAACCTTCTCCGCTTCCCGCCGACGTCCCGGAATGGCGCTTCAAGAACGGCACCTTCCCGTCTGCCAGCTCTAAGAAAACCGAAAACTTGACCGTCATTGCCGCGGATTCCTCATGGCACTTCCTTCAAGGCTTCTTGTCAGCCTTTCCCCAGTACAATCCTGGTGTTCGATCCGACAGCGACACCGTCAACCCCTCTGAGATAAACCTGTTCGCTGAGAGCTATGGGGGTGTTTATGGTCCTGTCTTCGCAGATCACTACGAAGAGCAGAATGATCGTCGAAAGAAAGGCGATCTTCCGGCTGAAACGTTGGAGATACGCGTTGGTTCAGTGGGCATCGTCAACGGTATCATGGATGTTAGGACGTCAACAACTTCGGGCTTGCTCTTCGCATACAACAATACCTACGGCATCGAAGGCTATGATCTCACAACTTATCAAAACGCGATATCAGACGTCTACGCAGAAGGGGGTTGTGTAGATTTGGTCGACCAGTGCGCTGCTTCGGCAGCTGCCAATGATCCCCAAGGTCTGGGTACCGTCCAGGAAGTGAACGAAATTTGCGTAGCTGCGCTCTTAACATGCCAAACAAACGTTGGCCCCGCCTATCTTCCTGGTAGAAGCATCTACGACATCCGAGCTCTCCCGACTGTTGGCCCTAGTGACGCACTTGAGACGTATCTTAACGAAGAACACATCATGCAATCCGTGGGTGCTCCAGTCAACTTCACTTCTACAAATAACATGGTGTTGGATGCTTTCAGTTACAGTATGAAATCATGCCCTATCCTCGATTCTATACGCATCTACCTTGCTAACCATGTATCTAGACGGAGACTCTGCCCGCGGAGGCGCATTGGAGGCCGTGGCAGACCTGCTCGCCCGCGGCATCAAAGTCGGCCTCATCTACGGTGACGCGGACATCATATGCAACTGGTATGGAGGGCAGAACAACTCTCTCGAGATCGCCAGTCGTGTGCCTGGCTACGAAACGGCTTTCAAGGAGGCTGGATATGCGGACATTCAGGTGAACGAATCTTACGTTGGCGGCGCTGTTCGTCAACATGGCAACCTGTCCTTTTCTCGCATCTACGACTCCGGCCACTACGTCCCGACATTCCAGCCAGAGACCGCCTTTACCGTCTTCAGTCGTATCATTCATGGCGACGATATCAGCACCGGTCGCGACGTCGATCTGTCCAGCTTCAGTACAGAAGGCCCTAGCACCTCTGAGCACAGAAATAACCCAGGAGAGAGCCCTCCACCAATATGCTGGATTCGTCAAGCTATCCTTGCCTGCACGGAGGAGGAAAACGCAGCTATCATCGCGGGCAATGGTACCGTGAAGGCTGGCATCTGGTATCCATCCGAGGAAGACGTGCCGACGAGCGCGGGTGATCCCGAACCGCAGCCCACTGCGACAAACTCCGTGCCTATGACTGGAGTGTACACCGCTACCGCCGATCAGAAGGTCAAACAGACGTCTGGAGCATCGGCACTTCGATTCAATATCCCTTTCAGCCGTTCGCGCCGTCACAACCCAGGCGATCTATTGTCTGAACCGGAGGATTCTCGCGACAGTAGCATCAGAAATGGTCTCATTGGTGGTCTCGCTGCAGCGGTAGCTCTGTTGCTGTGAGTGCATAGCACTCTTCCCATATCTGTCATATAGACCGCCTTGCACACTCATTCGCGCAATTTCGCTTCACAAACATTCTACATTTCAAACATCACCTTATAGCTACGGCCGCGCTTTCACTTCTGAAACCACCTTTTACTGAATGAATATATACAGAGGTTTACTTTCCATGCTGTGCTGCTGCCGTTGCTTCAGACGACGTAAAGTCTACGATGGACCTTTTCCGGATGATGCTGGAAAGGGTCCAATTGTTGTCGAGCAAGTGATTGATGATGATCCAACGCCGACGCCTACGTCAACCATTCTCGGTCGGCAAATAACGCACATGGAGTCGATACCTGAAGCAAGCCCTAGACCAAGCGACGATCTCAGAGATAGAGCAGCGGCTGTGTCAACCAAGCCGGCACCAATGCCAACCGCAGAAGAGGAAACTTCTACCGCGCCCGTGCAGCGATCACTCTCCCCGTCGCAAGATGCAAGCCTATCACCGCGCGTCCCAACTATCCCACCTACAGGAACCTCGCTTCTCCCTTCCAACACAAGCATTGTGGCGCGTCCCCAACTCTCGTCCTCGGTGTCCGTGCCGCCAACCAACCCGCCGCCCTTACAATCCTCCACCCCAACACCGCCAATCAGTCCACCCACGCCCCCACCACCACATGCGACACCACCTGTACCTGAGCCAACACCGTCTCCGTCCCTGACTCCTGGGTCAACGGCCATCCCTTCCTCTCGCTCACCCCTGCGCACTCCTCCGAGTAATGGCCCGGCACCACCTGACCTGTCGCCAAAGATAGAAGGAGAGCACGGCCCAAAATCGCCACAGCCGTCGCTATTTTCGCGGATTAAAACGCTGTTTCTGCCTAGTTCCTCGTTGGCGGATATGGAAGGAGGCGCAATGACGGATGGTACGATTGATCGGCGGGTGTTGAATCCGCGGGTTGCTGTGAGGCCGGCGCAGAGGCGTGTGACCAAGGCTGCGGTGCCGAGTTGGTCGACTGAGGTGTGGTTTTGACCGGGGTTGCGGTGGCGATGGAGTTGCGAGGTGGGATTGGTTGGTTATTGGTATGCGAATGATGGACGGGTAATGATAATGCTGTGAAGTGACGCGTGATGTTGCGACTGTAAGGGTGGGGGTTGGTTAGAGGGTGTGGGTAGTGAGTAGCAATACATTCTCAATCCTCGAAGGAAATAACCTTACGTCACGTTTAGTGAGATGGCATGATGCTGACTCATACATATGCATTCTTGTCTTGAAAGCACTCGTGACTGTTATCAAAACTACATATTTGAAACGCGACGCCCCCAGAGCGATCCTCAAGGAGTGGCGAGGCTACATGATGGTGAAGATGTCGCCGCTTGCTCTACCCTGTGCAAGCAAGTCTCTGAGGGTTGTGATGTCCTTCATTGGAAAGTACCTGTACGTATACGCAGAGTATGTGTTGCAGAGATCGTGAGTGATATTGCTCTGCGTCCTCCTGTTCATGTCAGGAACCAAGATGGATATCACTTGTTCCATTCGATTGGATGACGGTCTGTCTCGCTTTTCATGGGTTCGAAGAGTTCAGTCGGAAGCCATTCGCCTTCTCTGGATCCTCTGAACTGCTCGGCAAACATGTACGGTCGACGAGTGATGTGAGCATCCATACCCAATTGCACATCCGCGGCTGCCGATCGCGCCATAGACGCCGCCCGCGAAAGACTTTCTAGATGATACTCATCTGACATATCTGCATTATCGAGACAAATTCGGAATCTCGGTGATCCGGGGATCTTCCAGAGGTCGTCTATCCAGTGCGCGTCTTTGATTTGGTCACGGAGTTGCTCCGCATAGCGCATCCATGTTGATGACAGACTAGGGGCCAATTCGTGTAATGCTCTTATAAGATCGATCACACGAATGCCATCTTCTCTGCGAAGTCTTCTCAACAGCGGGTGTGTTCGGCCTATGTTGAACTTATCGACGTCGAAGTGATAGATACCAAGACTCCTACACGGCGGATGAACGATCTGCATTGACCCGATAGCCTGGAGAAGAAGTCGATTCGAAACCGAGTCGTCGACCAACATAGTGTCAGGTGTAGCCTTGGCCCGTAGACTGATCTCCCATCGGCCTAGATGATGCTCTAAGCGGCCTTCTTCGGAGAACAACAACTCGAAGTACGGGTTCGTTCGAAACTGACTGAGATCGAGCCAGTAAAGATCTGCGTCGCGGGAGATCGAATGTACGTTCATATGGGTCTGGCCGCGTTGCGCAACATCCAATTCGTTTAAGTAGTGTGCGATTGCGTCTGGTAGACCTGGTGACTGTGCGAAGTACGCGGGAAAATAGAAGAACCTGTGGACTTGCGGATGACAGAGCTTGTCGCGTATGCGCGCCACGTGAAGGCAGAATTGCGCGACTTCGTCAGTGCTGGGTTGAAGAGGGGTCTCGCTTTCCCAATCAATGATTTGTGCATACTCTGTTGGCAGATCCGGTGAGGATAGAGTACAAAACGCGTCAACGTTTGTGCGACTGCATATAACAGATTTGGCAGAGGTGCGCCAAGCAGTCGATATGTTCAACGCTCGAACTTGGGTCTGAGGCCCGGCGGACTGGAGTATCATGTCCAGCAGTTCGGGAATCTGAAACATGTGATGCTCTGTACGTTGATTTAGTAGCTGGCATGGTTGTTGGTATGGTCGTTGATTATGCGTTTGGATTATGGTGTCTGGTTGGCGAATCTGGTAAAGGGTTATGCGTGTCCTTACTCGGTGACCAACCTGCACTCTCCATTGTTCAACAGCTCGTTGCTCTGAGGGGGAATAGAACGGCGACGCCTGTGTAGGCGTATTTGATAGATCACATAAATTATTTATGTCGTTGAGAACGTTGCGATGTGACTGCGCAAGAGTCTCCGGATTGTGCTGTGGCTGGTAAATGGAGAAGAGAAAGGAGTTTCTGGCATTTAGAGGCGAACTGGATCGATCGACAATCTTGGACGATGCTATTGCGGAAAGTGCGGATCCCATGGTGTGTCAAGTGAGGTGAGGATTCGATCGCGTTCTCTTGGTCACAGTAATGAGCAGACCTTTGAAGTCGCAGAGGACAGTTTGCGAGAAGTTGCACTTGTCCAGCTGTCCTCCGTAAGTCCCATGGTTTGCTTGTTGGAGCCTTGCCGCTAGCTAGGATTCGGCTTGGCGCAAAGGCAAACCGGGTGCCTTCCATTTTTGCGACGCAGTGGATAGCCGAGCGGACAGCGGAATGATTAATTCACTGAACCAACTGCGGGATCGAGCGATCAGTATGTAGGCGCTGAGGCAAGGAGCTGCTGTGGACGAGATGTGACGTGGTTTTCCGACGACAATGGCATCTGGGCGCGATCGACACGTCGAATACTTCGTAGGATACGCGTCGATAGGAGAATATGGCTGCTCGCCGGTAGATCTAAACTCTTACGCCGTTGGCCTTGAGAGAACATAAAGGATAGAAAAGCAAATGCGGCGATGATGCTAAAACTGCACGTAACGCGAGCGCGCGAGCAGCGGGTTGGTGATGGAAGCACAGCCCGTAAGACCCTGCGGGTTGAACACCGTGAGCTCGGGCGCGGCGACAGTAGCGCCGGTACCACGAACTACTGCTTTTGCTGTGATCGCACGGGCATGGATCTTCCACGTCACGATCACGTTTCGTCGATAACGCATCCCAGCTCTCGCATTGGCCTCGATTATAACAGCTCAAGTGTGCTCAGCTCGCACGTTTTTGCGCACTACGTAGAATTTTGAAGCGGTTCATCGATGATGCGTACCTAGGTAGCGAGGAACGAGCCGCCACTAGGCATCTCACAACCTACCTCATAACCATGGGAACAGATGTGGATTCTCGAACGAGACCTCTCGTGACGGTAAGTAGGCTAGTGATATAATCTGACGGTACTATATGAGAAAGCAGACATACCACAAGATCCTCAAAAACTCTTCTTGAAAATAACATCAACGTCCCAAAACTATCGTCCTCGACACAATGCAGGTGGCTGCATTCGCAGCAATGAGCATCATCACAACAAGAGCAGCCATCACTTCGTCGGGCAGGGTCACACCCATAACGCGGACCCACGGCAATCTTATCGTATCGCGCGATGAAAGATACTTCTGCTTGGAGGAAAATAACTCGTATCTGCAAGCGATTATAGGGCGGTGGCACAATCTCAAGACACAAAGGAAATACCTTCGTATCGAGAACCGCAATCATCGAGAGTCTGCACTATACCGTCTACCTAATGAGCTTCTCGAGCAAATCGCCATGTATCTCCCTCCCGCCGACCTCCTAACGCTCGTTCGTACTTGCAGGCATACCGCAATTTTGCAACGCCGACGTTATTTCGATCAACCCGCTCTACTGGTATACTGGCGACGCATGAGGCGCGATGTCTTCGCCTCTCGACTGATGCTCGAGAACAAAAGCTGGGATCTGCCTGGGATGCTGTGGTGCGACCGTTGCAGCGAGTTCCACCCAAGGACTTATTTCGCGAAGACTTTGAGAGATGCGCCAGACGATGGGAGGGAGTGCAGGTTCGCATCGACGGCATGGACTGGCTGGTATTTCCAGCATCGGATTGGTGTGCCGGAGAGGGTGTGAGATTGGCCTGAAATCAGAAGCAGCTATCGACCAAATCAAGGATGCTGCAGCTACCACTGGACTGCAGCTTTGATGATGCTAGATTAAGAGAAGGTCAAGAGTGGCAAGGCACAATCATGCATACTGCTTAGAGGGTGGCAGATCCTCTGGGCTATTGGTCATCTTCGGAGGATGCAGTGAAAACCCTTTCATTATTAATCGAACTAGTATTATTGAAGATTCGTCCCATCTCATACAAGAAAAAGCCGAACATGTTTGCAGGCTACATTAACGTTAAAACCTGCAAAGGGGGTGATATAAGGTTGATGTAGGCTGCAGACCTGTTCAGCTTTTTCCTTGGTTGGCGTGGTGCTGTAAGTAATTCGGAACAGAACACTCCTTGCTGTGCTCCTCTTGTGCGCATGTGAAGATGGAGCTTATGAGCTGAGTATGCCTGTGTCGACGCGTATGAAATAAAAGAAAGTAGGCAACGTGCTAACCATGCCTGACAGTACCTTAGTAACTCCAATGACTCTCACACCTCCCAATCAACATTCGATCGTCCAGTCTCAGTCTTCATAGGCTCGAAAAGCTCTTCAGGGAGCCATTCGCCCTCTGTCGTTGCTCTGGGTGGCTCCGCGGACATATAGGCGGTGCGGGTGATGTGGAATTGGAGCCCTAAGAACGTGGAAGCAACGGACTCTGGATCCCTTCCCCCTGTTGGTGTAGTGGTATCTTTGATGCGGAGCATTTCGTCCGGCATATCGTAATTATCCAGATGAAGGCGAAATCTGGGTGTGCCGGGCATCCGCCAAACGTCGTCAATCCAATGGCCGTTTTCCGTAACGCGATTGCGGAGCTGTTCGGCGTTCTCAGCCCACTTTCCGAGCAACTTCGGTGCGCAGTCTTCAAGCGCATCTAGAAGTTCGCCAACGCATATACCGTCGTTATTGCGAATTCTCTTTAACAACGCTGGTGCGCCGCCACACGCTCCAAAAACGACCGCATCGTAGCAATAGATACCCACACATCGACACGGCGGGTTCGTGATGTGCATCGATCCAATAGCATGTACTAGCAACATGTCTGAAGGTGAGTTACCTACAACAAGATGGCCAGGTGTCGCATCAGGACGTAGACTAATCTCCCATCTACCAAGGCGTTGCAGTAAACGGCCCTTCTCCGAGAACAAGAGGTCGAAGTAAGGATTGATCTGGAGCTGTGTGAAGTCCAGCCAAAAGAGTTCCGTATCACGAGATACTGAGAATGTGTTATCGTGATAGTCAATGCTGCGCTGGCCAATATCCAGTTCGTTCAGAGAGCTCGCAGTTGAGCTCGGTAGATCACTCAGCTGCGCCATACATGCTGGGAAATAGATGTAGTTCGGGTAATACGACTTGTTCCGCCAACTGATCATACGATTGACATGAAGCCCGAATTGCTCGATCTGCCGCGTGCATGGCCTCGGCAGGACGTAAGCAGCATCATCGATCAGTTGTCCGTACTCAATAACTGGAGCAGTCGATGGCGAAAGGAACGCTTCCTGGATGCGGCGATTTGTAATAACAGATATTGCGGAGGTTCGCCAGGCAGCTGAGATCTGCAGTGCTCGGACTTGTGCCTGTGGCCCCGAGAAATGCAGTATCAGGTCTAAGAGCTCGGGAATTTGAAACACTTGATGCTCTGAGCGACCCAGTGGCCGTGACGCGGATGCCATTTTGTTTGTGCCTTCCGGGATGCATTCGTTAACGTTGTAACTGGATATCCGCTTCATTATTCGGCGATCGACTTGCTGTCTCCATAACTCCAACGCTGAAAGCTCCGCTTCTGAGTAGGGCGGAGCTGCTACTGGGGGTAGGTTTGCGCGGTCTTGTATATGGTACCACTCCAAGTGGAGTTCCAGTTCTCTGGTATGTAGGTGTCGAAGATCACGGTCTGGCTCATAGATCGAGTGGAGCAAGGAATTCCTAGGATCAGCCTGCAGAATTGACTCGTTGGCCCTTGATTGGATTACTGAAGATAGTGCGGCACCCATGGTCGCTTAGCAGGAAGGGGTCGGTTGTGAAGGTTTGCGAAAAGTCGAAATACAGAGTTTGTGGAAAGCGTGAGAGGGGCTAAGTATTCGCCGCGTTCGCTTGTACAGGTGTTCTTTGTACGTCCCACGGTTGCTGGTACCACGAGATACATATGGCCGGGGCCTAGAGAAGCATGGGCGCTAGCTAGGATCTGGCTTAGCGTGACCGCAGCACAAGCTGCCTCCAGGGCTACCTAGGTATGTGGGTAATGCTTCTGGGTTCCGCGCTCGAATCTGAAGTCTTCCGGCGGTAATTTTGAGCGTCTAAATTTGGGGTTTGGTAAGTCGGCAACAGTAGTCGCCAGTGTACATTTGAACGAGTCAGTGCTTCGGCAGCACGTATGTCGCGGCCTCAGATTTCTGCTGAGCGTCATACAAGTGCTGCAGAATACATTGCTGCGCTGTGGCAAACAAGCGATCGCGATGGTATCATGAAGTCGGCAAGACAGTTTGGAGGCAGATGCAAACTTCCGAGAAGCCTAGACTAGAGCGTTCAATCGAAGAACGAGGTGGTTATGCAACGCTCCAGATACTTAGGTACTTGCAACCGCGGCGAAGCTCTACACCTCTGGCGACGCTATGCGCAAGTAAGTGAACAGGCGAGTGGACAGCAGAACAATCGATATACTGCCGCCAATGGGCGATGGACGATGAACGAGTTGTGCGTAGGCGTTGAGGTAATGGGCTGCTGATGGACACGCGTCTTTTTCGCGACAACGGAGCGATTGACGCGTCAAAGTCCGACGCGTAAACACGCTAATGAGGTGAGCAATTACGCCGCCCTCGGCGACAGATGAAAAGTGCTATAATGCGAGCAAAGTGATGCAGTTGTCGAAGACGATGCTTGTGTCGCGCCCATGAAAAAAACGAGCACTCCAGTGGGTGGTGCCAAAGGTGCAACGCGACGAAATATCGGGTACAATGTATGTACTTTATAACCCACTATCACCTCCTACCCATCATTCATGTTAGCCCTCACATCGGACGCGAACTATCCAGATGTTCTCGAATTTCGCGGCTTTGCGCACGATGTAGAAATGTTCCAATCTCTGCAGGCGTTGTTACCTGGCACGTACCTGGGTATCGCGCTCGGCTGCTGGAAGTCCATGTCGGGCGCTATCCAGGTTCCACGCTAACCCCAATTGGACGCTGTCTCCCACCTGCCGCTGTATTATCGCAGCTTCCCTGGCCTCTCTAGCTCCTCGCCTTTCCACACACAATGTAAGTACTCCCCACATTCTCATCTCGCAGACGAGCGCTGACATGTATAGTGAAATGGCCGGTCGCGGAAACTTCAGTTTCCAAAACAACTATCCCAACCAGGGCCACAATAGCCCTTACCAAAACAATCCGAACCAATATGCCAACCCGAACCAATACGCCAATTCGAACCAACACGCCAATTCAAACCAGTATGCCAATTCGAACCAATTCGCCAATAATTCGCAACGCAGCGGAGCTTATTCCAACTCTCACCAATCCGACAATAATGTGCGATACGGCGCGTACAATGCGCAGGACTCAATGGGAACGGAGTCGCGAAAGAAGATGAAATGTCAGTCAGCTCGTTCTTTTAGTGAAACGAAATGCTAATTAAGATAGTTTACACTCCCAATGCACCCAACAAGATTGACTACGATATGGCTATGGCAGTCGCGCGCGACTATCGCGACACAACTTTTGAGATAGTGAGAAATGGTGAAGAGCTTATTCCTTTGCATTCTTTGCAAGTCGATCAAGTCAACGAATTCGAGGATTCGCACAACATATATATGGAAGCCGAGCGAAAGGTGAACGAGTACCTTGCGCAACAAGCCAGCGGACCTGTTTCGAATACGACTACTGGCACTCCCCTCGATACGCCGGAACTCCGAGCCCTGATCACCTCGATAGTGCGTGAGCAGATCGCAGAGATCTTACAGCAAGCGTCAGCTTCTATCTTGATCGGCAATCGTGGGAACATGCCTGCGAATGAGCACAACCAGACTTCGCCTCTGCAGCAGAGCAGTGCGCAACCTGGCCAGACTTCGACAAATGTTCCATCCAATAGCCAATTCATCAAGCCGGAACCTTGATCCGTCCCTGGTTGATCCGCCCTCCCGAGATGTTCGATTGAAGTCGCAGTATGAAGCAGCTAGGCTGCCAGCCGGCACCTATAGGACGGCTCCATCGACCAAAGACTCCAAGCTTTAGAACAGAATATGTCGAATCCGACAATTCGACTCCACTTCGACGCCTTCGAACGCACAGATAGTTCGGCGAAGACATTTGACCCTACGAAGGAGTTGGGCAATGAATCCTTCGATACTCTGAATGATGCTGCTGCTCGGAGCTGAGCTCGCGTCAGCATCCAAAAGCGATGTTCTGCCGCTGGTAGCGGTGCATACATTGCCTGATACTGGTCTCGGACCAGTCACAATACTAGATTCGTTTAGTCTCTGATACTAGCTCTGCTGGTCACCATACTGGCTCTGCTGGTCTATGATACTGCATTCGTGTGGTCTAATGATATCGCTGCTGCGATGAACCATATCAGCTGCGCATTGATCTTTGATACTGCCGGCGTATGCCGGTTTCATGTACTCATAGCTCGTCTTTAGACAATCTCGATACAATATGTACCCATGCAGCCTTCTCCCGTGATGTAAATGCAAAAGAACTAGCCAAGTGATAGAGAATGTCGTCAAGCAGCACCAGCACCAGCACCACAAAAGCAAGAGCGAAAGAGCACAACGTGATACTCGCCTCGACATCACGGCAATTGCAAACACAACCACGACCGGGATGGATCTAAAGCTAGGCACTTCCAATGGAAACATGTGTATTTTATTGTAAAGAGATACAGGATAGCTGGATACCTCCCGCCTGGTGTCCAGCAGGTCCTTGAGGTATCCGAGCTGATCTTGTAGTACAAAAAGAGTTCGCAACAACAGAAGAAGTAAAATCTGCCTGATTGTACTCTCTACCATTCCTCGATCAAACAGGACTACTTATACCTCTGAATCTTCCACGGGCCTCGACCGTCTCTGCAGTGACATCTCTTTCGTTGTTTCCGTTGCCCGGACGGACGCCTCGTGGGTTAGCACCATTACCGCGAATGCCTCATGGAACACGGGTCCCTCCGAATGGACGAACAATTCCTGGGATGGCATCTCTTGGGCGGGTCCCTCCGCCTGGGCGAACGAATCCTGGGATGGCATCTCGGCGGCCACGTCCAGTGCTTGAGTTCATTCGCTGACGGGCCTCGATGGTCTCTGCATCAGCATCTCGTCGACCGCCACTTATACTCCCGCCGATTCTGTTAGGCTCAGCTTCACGTCGGTAGCTGCCGCCGCGACTTGGAGTAAGACCTCTCTTAGGAGAACCTCCAGGGGGTCTTACAAGACCAGGATATCGCTCGATCAAGTCCTCTGCCCGGTCCGCATCGCGCTTGGGAGTCCATGGCACCGCGTTCCCACGCTCAACCACGTCGTTTGATGCCTCAGCATTGGGCGTGCGGGGCCATGAGACAAGGTGGCCACGTTGGGCCGGGTCATCGTTCGATACACGTCTGCTGTCGGTGCTTGAGCCACCTTCTGGAAATCCGATAGCTCGCTTGATGGGCTCGGCCTCTTGTCGACTACCACCAGCGGTCTTGAACTTGCGGGGATCAGCAGCACTCCCTTCCCCACCCGGACGGGAGCCACGGGCTCGCTCCACCAAGTCGCCTACCGGAACCGCAAGGGACGCGCCTGGATATAGGACAAGGCGACCACGGTCGACCAGGGCTTCAACTTCAGCCTCGGGTTCGGCCTCTCGTTTCGGCCATCCGTCGCCACATTTGGTTTTGGCCCGAGCTTCGACAGATGTCTCTTCGGCATCTCGTTTCGCCTGTCCGGGACAGGCATCGATTCTGGCCCGAGCTTCCAATGGCTCGATAAGAGTCACGGAGATGGCATTTCGTCGATGAAATGCGCTAGCAGATGAGATATCTTGAGGAGGTGTCTATACTAGTGTGAGCGAAGACACGGGGATGAAACCACGAGATGGCATACCTCAGCGTCTGGGACTGGTGCCGCAAATAAGGCAAGAGAGAAGGAAAGAAACGTGGTGATTGCGAGTGCACGCATACTGTATGTGTTGGTACGAGCGGAAAGGAGTGGTGTCGATATAAGACTGAGCTGCCGAAGAGGATGGAAGGCCCTTCGGTTAATGAAGCAATTGCCAGCAGCGAAGGAGGTTGCCTACGACTTTATTCATGGCTTAGGCTCACCATGTGCGAGTTTCCAGGATATTGGCGCTTCGAATAGCGACCACGCCTCACCCTGATAATCGTCTTAGATGCCATCGATGCGGGCTCTGTCGCATTGTCAAGGCACGAAAGCTCATGGTGTCGTGTGTAACCTGTAAAATGATTGGAGTAAAACCAAGAGAGCATAACGGTTGGTGCAAATCAGGTAGGCTGAAACCCAGTCACCAGCATAAGTGGGAACCTATGGCGCTTAGCGGCATAGCACACGAGACCGAGAATGCACCGAAATGCATCCCATCGCTCCTAGTAACGTTGATCACACCAATCCATCACATTGCAAGCGCTCCGAGAGCCTACTACAAGGCAGTTCGGTAGATATGGCATCCATACATGTTACATGACCGAGGAGTCTACATTGCTCTTGAAAGTCTATATTTGTGATTTCGGCTTACAGCCCACTCAAGACTTTGCTCCATGACCTCCTGTACTTGTGTCGAAAAAGGTAGTGACGCAGGGCAAGCGCGTCAGCTTCAGATAACTTGTCCATATGGATAGTTGTAGCGTATAAAAAGCAAAGGCAAAGGTATTGAAGGCTAAACCACAAAAGAATGAAGGCTGGAGGGGCAGACAAGTTTTTACCGCCCTTTGTATATCTAAACCATGGCCCAACCAGCCTCCCCCAGGCTGGAGCATAGAACGACCAGCGTTCCTTGGGATGCAACATGAACAAAAGAACCGTGCGCTCACTTACTTCCTCCACGGCCTGGAGTCAACCCTCTCTTGCCACCTCCTCCCTTATTAGGACGTTGCAATCCTCTCTTATGACCGTCAGCACCGCCTGTACCACGGAGACCGCTCTTGTTTCCACCAACGCCACCACCTTGGAAGCCTCTTCTGCCGTTTCCTGAATGTTTCGTGATACCCCTTTCCTCCAGATCGTTGGAGATTTCTTCGGAAGCATCGACTTCGACTTCGTCCACAGGATCCTTGTCTTCGTCGGCTTCTTCGCGTGTCTCAAGGTTTTCTGAACGTCGACCAACCCACTTACCACCACCGCCACCACCGCGCCTTCCTCCACGTGTCTTGAGGCTGTCAATTGAACCCGGCTCCTCCCAGGCGCCAATAGGACGAAGTATCCCTCGGGTCTCGAGGCTGTCTGAGCGCCTTTTAGGGAGGCCAGAGCCACCACCATTAAGATGCTTTCGCTTCTCGACTTCCTCTACCGACCTCTTCGGGGGGGTAAAACCACCACCGCCGATACGCCTGGCTCGCCCCACCAGGTCGATGATAGGCTCTCGCTTCGGTAGGCTGGGAAGGATAGTGGCTCCGACAAGGTCGTCGTTTCGTTCGACCACGGCATTCTTCTGCAGAATCTGGTACAAGTGTTAGTGTGAATTCAACATGCACCTGCAGGATGGGACGTACTGTAGAGCCTGTAAGAGGTACGGCAGAGATGGGTAGCACGAGGAACCCCAAAAAGAGGACTCTAGATCCGTACATCGCGGCGATTGAAGATATACAGCGTCAAGGGCTATGAGGAAAGTCGTGATGCTCTTCGAGAATGATGAAGCTTTTAAGCTTGGGTGGGCGTGCTTGTGGAAAGAGATTTTGGGCCGCAGTGCATTTTCGGTATGCGGTCTGAGTGTGGTACTCAGCATGGCATATATCCTCGATCCTGACACCCATGCCGCAATGTCATCAAAAGGCTCCCATAGCATACTCATGTCCATCTACTCCTCCATAGTGCTTCGACCCGCTGCCACCTGGAAAGTCACCGGTCTTGCGTTTCAGCTTGCCTCTTTCGTCCTCTAGGAATCATGCTCTCCGTTCTCGCTCCCAATGATTGCGCATCTTCGCGTGATGAACATGTAGTGCGTGCTTGTTCCTTGCATTTCGCGTCGACGCTGGAACACAAGGCGTCACGCCGGAAATGTGTGACGGCCCGCGACCGCGCCGCAATGGAGCAGGAGATTTCTGCGGGTAGCGCCACACCTGTAAATTGACCCCCGGTGGGTCCGAACAGATGCGTTAGATCATGCTCCATGTATCAGATAGATCGACAGAACACATTGTAATAAAAGAGTCCATAATGTGCATCCCGTGAGGAGTCCGGCTTTGCCGTGCAAGCAATAAATATGTCATATATCATACACAGCATTCAGCCGCACAGGGCGAGGTAACACATCTCAAATCCAGCCACGTGGTGCTTGAACAGCAGGTTGTGGTAACTGCGGAGAACGGCTCAATAAACTCTGGCCGGACACCCTCCATCCTGTCTTCGGTAGCAATCTTATGCGGACTTTCTTTGTATCCTGTGCGCTATTCCATGTTGACGAGTTGGTGAATTGGGCTTGCGCCTCTTTCGGCAAGCTGTAGATAAGGGTCGGCATCGCGGAGGTCTTCCAGATGCCGGCACCAGTATCCTTGGAGGTTTTGATTATTGTCGAAACCAGAAAGATAAAGCTTAGGACCAGTAAGAGAAGTGGGAACGTAAGCCATGCCCATCTTACTGATACGAAGTTGGCCTTAGAAAACGCGTGGCCTTCGACATCCTCGCGGGTAGGCGCTGATCGTATAACGTTGGTCAGAGCTGTGGCTAATCGTTCCATGTGCCTCGTGACATTGTTTGGAGCAAGCCACGGGTTGAAGAAGAGCGTTTGGTGCCATGGAGAACCCGTCTTCCATGTCTTGTAGCGCAGAATCGGGGAAGCTGACTCATTGACCTGAGTGGTGTATGCGGGGAATATATCTGTGAAGCCTTGCATCAACGCCAAGGCAGTATTATTTGACGTCCCAAAATTGGCAAGCCTGCCATCGCCGGTGAATTCTCCCGCCTTGATAGTTATGTTCTCCATATAGAAGATATCGGTACCGTTCTCAACCTCGGTCTGGTAAGGATAGGCTTCCCAAGGAAATGGACCAGAAGTAGTGTTGAAGACAGTGTCAACTACTTCTTCATTATACCCGCCCCAAGTATATGACGAGCTCATGGTCTTTACACACCAAGATAAGTGGCACTCTTGTGCCACAGGCGTCTCATTTCGGTACACCGCTTCAGCTGACCCATCGCTCGATGAGACGATTAGAACGTCTTGAATCTTGTGGCGTATGTGCTTGAAATGAATGGAGCCGTTGCCGTATAAAGGCTCTTTCGTGATGATTTGAGTCAGTGGAAAAGTGCGCATCGTGAGGGCTTCGCCCGCGATCGAGTTGGCCTCGTCCCACAGGTATCCTGACATCAATGTCGGATTGTCGCTTGTTGCGTTTAGAAAGTAACCACACGCTGTCGCATTAGGGTACGGCTGCTGAAGATCGAATAATCCATTTGAATCTGCGGTCCAATCCACAGTTTGCGTCAAGCACGCAAACGAGAGCTCAGTAGATATGTCCAAGCATTGACTACAAACGCCTAGTGTCTTGTACAAGGGCCATGTACAGTTACTAGTCGAGCAAGACTAGACGTAGCTGGTCAGCGTGGAGATCAACGGTGGAAGATAATCGAGATGACGTATCGTGTATCACTTACGATTGAGATATCGGGGCGAACGGCGTTTCCGAACACGACTGGGCGTATGCCTTCGCCGTAGGAAAACTTTTCGATTATCAAGAAGGTGTCTTTATCGTCTGTTGCTATCTCATATCCATCTAGGTACTCTTTCGGATAGGTCGATTCATAGTTGTATGCCTTAGGCACTGCCGCGAGAGTTGCCTGGAGGGTCCATCGGTCGGATACTTCGGTGACTTGTTGAAAGAATGTATCTATAGCAAGTAGCAGGAGTATTAGCAGAGCGCCGAGTGCTGCTAGTGAACGACCCTTGGTGCGATAAAGGAGCATTAACGCTCCTAACGGTCCACGAGAAGCTTTGTCAAATATTTCGAAATCCCACATAGCCTTGGAGTTGTGGAACCAATTCCATTTCAGCTGGCCGAGCGCTTCGGTTGTGGGAACTATCAATCCAGCAGACGCGATCTTCCCCAGCACATTGATCCCGGCAATGAACGCGCTATTCGTGGAGAGTATTGGCTGATCTTTGATATGAAGGCATATCAGGACTATCGCGATCATCGAACATGCACTTATTAACCAGCTCGAGATCTCAAACAGCCATCTCTTGAAGACGTTGTTAGAGGCGTTGTATTCCGCTAGCTTCCTCTCGATTCGTTGTGTAAAGTCTAGCGATGGCTTTTCGTGTTCTGGAGGGTCGAGCGATTCAGGCGAATGGGGTCGTCGGTATTCCCCACTTTGTGGTGAACTATGGGGAAGATAAGATCGTCTTGCTGTCGAGGTTGGAGCCATCGAGGTGGAGCGTATATTGCTGTGGAGTGTATCGTGGTTCTCAGTGAGAGACATGAAGGGTAGACGTCTTGCTGGCAAGAAGGTGTTTCGATCGATTCCTGGAAGCGAGATGGCCGCAGACCGGCGCCTGCGGAGTTGTATAGGCTGAACATCATCTTCTACTACCTAGCCAGGTATTGCAGAGGCGAAGCGCAAGTTGCACGTGTCCATTCTCGTGGCTGGGCGTGCGCTTCGTTATCGTGCGCCTATGGGAGGTTTGCTGTTAGCGCTGCGGCATGGCGACTGGATGTCAGCTACCGACCTCGGCGCGGAGACCGACATAGCCATATCGCGCAGACGAATAGAGCGACCTTGGATGCAGTAGCAAGCGAAGATCTTCCGGCGACCGAAGGCGGAGTTGAAATTCGAGTGATGAAGTTGGGACGGGGATACAAGGAGTGAGGGTCAGCGGGACGCGTTGGAGCTGGGCTTCGGCAAGCGAGATTGGCTCCGCGATGACGATTGCTTGGCAAAACGTGCCAGATGTGGTTATCCATTACATGCTATTTAGTTCTATCAGAATGACTTGATTGTCTACAGTTTAACATCGCGGGCAAAGGTCTACGGTTATATGAAGCCAGGTGGAGCTGTCGGTGCTGGCTGCACCTGTCCAGACACTCTCCAGCCTTGCTTTGGCAAGAGTCTAATTCTGACCTTGCGGGGATCGTGGTGTGATGCGCCACCCGAGCTTGTGGTTGAGGTACTGTCCTTCCGCATATTCTGCGGTAGACCGTACATCAACGTTGGCATCGCCGAAGTCTTCCATATACCTGTCTCGGTGTCCTTCGAAGTTTTGATGATAGTAGCAACCAAGAACACAAGGCTGAGTACGAGTAGCAGGAGTGGGAATATCAACCACAGCCAATTGATGTGGACAAACTTCTCCATGCTGTATGCTTTTCCGGCTATCATCTCATTGCTATCAACATTAGACCGTATGACATTGGTCACGTCTCTAGCTAGCCTCTCCATATGATGTGTAATATTGTTAGGTGCTAGCCAGGGATTGAAGTCGATGTATCGCGTAGCAGGGCCATTTTCGAAATTCTGAAACCTGAGTATTGGCTGCATCGCCGAGTTGTTGCTCGTATAAGATGCTGGGAAGAAATCGTCCCAAATGGCGTTGACTTTCCAGACGGTTTCGTTCCAGATAGTATACGTGATGTTGGGGCCGGGTGAGGTTGTACCTGGCAAGCTCTGCGATGGAACATCGAGAGTCACATTGGGCGCATAAACAAAATCTGTGCCAGACTCCCGCTTCGTAACGATCCAAGGCCATGGTGTGGGGTCGGTGGCGATGTTCAGATGCGTTGAAAGGATGCTCTCGCTGTATATACCCGATTCGTATGAGGATCTCATGCGTTCAACACACCACGACAGTACACATTCGTGGACTACAGGGGGCTCGTGTCGGAAGACACTGCCAATACCATTAGCTGCGGATGCGATAAGTCCGTCATAGATTGGATAACGAATGTTCTTGAAGGCGACAGAGCCTGAGCCGTAGAAGGGGTCTCTAGTCCAAAAGTCGGAAAGAGGAACTGTACGCATCAATAGAGCCTCGCCAGTAGTGTTTGTCGTTCCGTTTTCTAGTACCACGTATCCCGAGAGAAGAAGCGGTGTACTCGAAGTGATGTTGAGGAAATGCCCGCACACGGTCCCGTTTGGATACGGAACACTTTCTATCGGACCTTGGTAGTAGGCACTCCAGTCGATCGTGGTGTTGAGACATGCGTGCGTGATGTTTAGACTGTGAGAGACCTCCGCGCAGCTGCTGCACGTTGCAAGAGTGTCGTACTCAGGGAAAATACAGTTGCTAGTAGGGCACGATAAGGGAATCTCTGGACGAATGCCTCGCCCCAGCTGTGTAGATCGTGTGCCGTTCCCATAAAAGTACTTTTTGATGATAGGGGCAGATACCTCATCATACAACCCCTGTTCTTCAGCTTTGATGTAGAACTTCGAGGTAGGTGGACGGTATTTCTTGACGACTGGAATCGAACAGGAAGAGTTCTGCATGGCCCAATGGTCCGGATAGGTTACCACTTGCTGGAAAAAGGTGTCGATGGCAAGCAGTAGTACGATGAGAAGCGCCCCCAACGCAGCAAGCGACCTTCCTTTCGTCCGGAAAAGAAGTAGTGCAGCCCCCCATGCACCGCGGGATGCCTTGTCAAAGATTTCGAAATCCCACATAGCTTTGGACTCATGAAACCAATGCCACTTTAGTTGCCCAAGTGCCTCAGATGTCGGTACGATAAGGGCAGCGGATGCAACCTTCCCTAAGATATTGGCTATCGTGAGAAATCGGTCGCTCTTGGTCATCTCCTCCCCACTGATCGATAAATAGATACCGATGGTGGCGCCCATGCACAACGCGCTCACTGTCCAACTGGCAGTCTCAAAAAGCCATCTCTTGAAAACATTTTGAGACGCGTTGTACTCAGCCAGTTTCTTCTCTAAGCGCTGTACCAAGTCTAATGAGTTCTTCTCGGCCTCGTCGGAAGTGCTCGGTGGTGGCGTATCGCGTTCTAAGGTTTGCGCATTGTGTGGCGGCTGTCTTGAGAATTGGTACTGGGGAAGTGTCGGTACGTGATTACGTGGGTGTTCTGAGATCGCGGATGTGTAACTGGGTGGTTCATTCATTGGGAATGTGTGATTCGAATGGAAGTATGCTTGATGGCTGCTGAACGAAGTTGGCGTGCCACCAAATCGGTGGCATGCTCTTGTATGAACCCGCCATACACTCTGAACCTTTAGCGGGAATGGCTTAGCTCGGCAGTTCCTTGATGCAGCGATCGCACGTCCTAAAACTAAAGATATTTAGCCGCGGAGTGCAAGATAAAGCTGCCAGCGAAGGAAGAAACTTGTTAGAGCAGCGGGTTTGGCGCCGAGTAGCTGCGAGTCCATGGTCGTGCAGACTTGTGTGTCTAACCATGTTTATCTCGCGTGTGGCTTGGCGGTATAAGCCAATGACACCGGTCGATTTACCGCTGGCTTTGGCGCCGACTAGGCATGTGAAAGTTGGCGTTGCAACACAGACGCGCTCATTCCAGGCTCGTTGTCTTGTTGCGCTTAGAATCGAGCATATTGGTTGCATGAGCGATTGGCACTGAGCCTCACGTACCTTTTGAGTACGACTGGAGCAAAGCCAGGTTTTGACGCGTAATTTGACAATCTTCATCAAAATCATGTGTGTATAACAAGTAAGACTTTACAGCTATATAAAACCAGGTGGAGCTGTAGACGTGGGTTGAACTAGACCAGACACTCTCCAGCCTTGTTTGGGCATTAGTCTGATCTTGACCTTCTTCGACCTTCTATTCAAGGTGCGCGTTGATGCTGCCGGTGTCTTGAGTTCCTGTTGAAGGTCTTTTGGCAGGCTGTATATCAGCGTCGGCATGGCGGAAGTCTTCCAGTTGCCGATATCATCGTATGCGTGTTGTGAAGTCTTGATCATTGTAGCCACCAAGAATGCGATGCTTAGGAAAAGGAGAAGCAAAGGGAATGTAAGCCAAGCCCAATGAACCACCACATAAGTCTCTGGGGATGAGGCGCTTCCAACGATGAGCTCATTGCTGTTAGCATCAGACCTGACTGCGTTCGTTAGAGCATGTGCTATCCTTTCCATGTGGTAGGTGACGTTATTGGGAGCAAGCCATGGGTTGAACCGAACTTCTCGAAACATGACCTGATCGATGAAACTAGTTCTGATCTTCAGATATGGCTTGGCCGATGGCTCGGTGACAGTAATCAGGGAGGGGAACACTTCGTCCAGAACAAAGATTGTGTTCATGAACGTCTCGTTTGAGACACCATAAGTGGTCGTATAGTTGTCGTTGGTAGGTGGAGTTATCGTGATATTTGCATCAAACTCAGTCAGCGTCATGCCAAGCCCCACACTCTCGCCCCACCATGGGTATTCGATCTGTGTCGTGTTGGTAAAGGTCTCGATGACCTCCTCTTTGTAACCTCCTCGTGCGTATGAGGAGCGAAGTGTCTTTACACACCAGGATAAGACACATTCGTGAGCCACTGGGAGGGCTTTGCGATAGACGCTCTCGGAGGAGCCATCCGCTGCGCTTACGATTATCGCATCGATGATAGGATAGTTGATGTGCTTGAAGTTGATAGAACCCCCGTACAGCGGTGACCTCAAAGGGTTTGTGACGAGCGGTAGCGTGCGCATGAGAAGTGTCTCTCCATGAGGGGAATCCGTGCTGTTTTCGACTCTGTACCCGGACATCAGGACAGGCAGTGAACTCGTCGCATTCAGGAAATAGCCACAAGCAGTACCTATACCACAATGATATTAGCCATAGTAATATTCAACCTGCACAGGTTGGTCGGCGGCCTTGCTTGGTATGGCCGAGACTGACAGTCGATGATGAAAGGCTCATCTCACCATTGGGATATGTATCCTCCGTTCCAGGACCAGTTGAGTTTCTAATCCAGTCCATCTTCATGGGGAGACAATCATATTCAAGTAGGTATGACACATCTTCGCAGGCACTGCAGACTCCCAAAGACTGATAGGCCGGCCACTCACATCTACTAGTTGGACATACTAGTGGTATCTCAGCCTGAGGACCACCCTCGGTGAGAAAAGGACGTGTGCCATTTTGGTCAAAGAAAAATGGATCCAGGGTCCTCTTGAGGTCTTGGTTCATCGTGGCCACGGGTTCGTTGTCCCAGGTGCTGTCGTATGTAAGGGCGAGGGAGGGGGTATATTGTACGGTTCGTGGAATCGAGCTGTTGCCCTGTAGCTTCCAACGCTCATTGAGATCGGTAACCTGCTGGAAGAAAGTATCAATCGCAAGTAGCAGGACTGTCAACAGTGCACCTAGTGCGGCAAGTGATTTGCCCTTCGTTCGGCACAGGAGCATGAACGATCCCCATGCACCGCGCGATGCTTTGTCAAATATCTCGAAGTCGAATGCGTCTCTGGACTTTTTCCCGTAGAACCAAGTCCATTTCAGCTGCCCGATAGCTTCCGATATAGGTAGAATAAGTGCTGCCGAGGCAATTTTCGAAAGAACCGTGATTATCGTTAGGCCTGCAGGCCATTTGTTGTGAGCTTGATCGTGGAGATAGTAGAGTAATCCGATGATTATGCCTACACTCTTAGTTAGCACATGTAAAGATCAGGCAGAACTGATGGTGTCTTACCCATGCAGACAGCACTCGTTGCCACACTAACGATCTCAAAAAGCCAGCGTTTGTAAACATTCTGCGAGGAATTGTACTGCGCTAGCTTTCGCTCTATGCGCCCTGGGAAGTCGAGACGGTGCTTTTCGTGGACAGAAGCTCGATAGGATGGCGGAGGTGGTATGTTCGAGGGTTCATTGATCGACGAGAAGTATGAATGCTGTGGCTGCGCGAGTGAAAGGGGTAGCGGGATCCCTTGTCGCTGTTGTTGTTGTGACATCGTGAGTGCGTCTCGGTGAGCGCGAGAATGTTCATGCCGTCAGAGGTGATGCTTTACAAGAGGTGCCGGAAGTAATGATTGGTAGATACCAACATTCCGCCAGGGCCCTCTTTCAACGATAGAGCGCTTAAACTGCGAATGCCTTGCAGCTCGTCTAGATGGAACGACGCGATCATAGCGGGCGTGATCCTCGGGAAGCGTGGCTAACTGGACGAAAGTCGATGTAGGGCTCGAGACTACCGCGTTGACGAGGACGAGTCCTTGAGGTTGTTGCTCGGCGACACTGTCAGACCTGTCGGAGTGGTATATTTAGCGCCCATAGCGTCGTCAGGCCCGCCCTGGAGTCATGTGGCGCCGATCACCTTAGCGCCGGGCGCACCATCCTGCAGGTACAGCTTGTCGGACCGTCTAGAGCCAGCATTTACAGTAAGTATGATCAAAGTCATAAGCGCTGAAGTCGTTATCTGAGTAGGCAGAGCGCAAGGCAGCTTGGTAAAGGCAGGTCTGACTGGTGAATGCTGTCAGGTACGGAGGATCGAGTTTGGGCTGCGTTCCAACCTTGGAACGTTGGAAGGTTCTGGCCTTCGTGCCATGATGTCATGAAGTGTGCAACACCACCAACACAGTCATTCTGTTCGGAACTAACTGGAATAGCAAGGCACAAACAACAGTCGAAGGGCTTCAAAAGCTCAACCGAGATTCCTGTAGAACAGCCTCTGGTAGCACATGTCATCTATGCAGAGCGAAGATAGTTTCGCTCGACCAATGACAACAATGTCCATGGAGAGGAGAGCATTCTGAAAAAGCGGGACCGATGAATGATGTTACGAGCATATCACGGCCCTACGCAAAGCAAGGGTTAGCATGGTCCACTGTGCGATGGCGTCAAGATCGTAGAGTGATGGATTTCGGATTATGTGACGCTCCTGAGGTCGCCTAGGCACTACCTCAAGATCTGTACTTTCATCAAAACCATGTGGCAGCCCATGCATTCGCCGAGACAAGACTGGTACTGCGACAGGTCAAGACAAGACATTGGTCGATATCACCATGCATGAACACTGTGACTGCTTGCGCATGGCGTGCGAAGAAGGCTCGGAAGGTTGTCGGCTGTGCCGCATGATTTAGGTGGTGACACTGCAGCGGAATCAAAGAAAATCTTCCAGCCGCATGAACGGTGGTTTTGATAAGGTTTGCATGCATGTAGCGGTCGTGTTGCAGCTTGGATGAAGAGGCTCAGATGATGTGAGTATCGATCTCGGGCGCTTAGACGTTGTCTGTAATTGGTCCATGTCAATCTCAGGTAGACACTTCGGCTCGCCAAACATCTATCTCAACGCGGAGTTGCCGTATCAGAACAGTTCATTGATCCGGAAAGTCGAGTGGGACGGTTAAGATATTCGAGTTCAGATCCAGAGAAGGCATGATGATGCTGGTCGCAGATATTAATGAAATGGATCGCACCCTGAGCCATACCCGATCCGGCTCCTGTACAGGGGTAAGACGCCACCACATTTCAGCGAAAGCTACAAGCACAGTTGAACGTGTGACTTCTTTCTGTGAATAGTCGTTTTGAGGATTACTATTGAGAATGTACAAAGAAGCCGAAGAAAGCGTAACGCTGATGTTCGTCACGTGTAGGAAAGATTCGTGACTAGGTCGCGGGGTTATGGCTGATTCGCATAAGGCACCGATCGCGTAGGGCCAATCGCTTCAACTCCAGGGGTAGGTGTAAAACGCCGCCAAGCCACATCACATTGTCATAACCTTTCGATTGGTCAGAAGTCGTTCTGGCAATGGATGAGAATTGCAGGAAGTACGGTGATGAATCGTACTTACATGATCTCGAATTTGCAGAGTCGCCTCGTGGAAAGCCCTGCTATTTGAGCGCTTCGAATGTGATAACTCTGTGACGAAAATCGCGGGATGTCCCCTGATCCATTGCGTCGCGTCCGTGGACCACCACAAATTCCAGGGCCTAACGCCTTGTGTTCCAACGCGTCGGTCTTTGCGTTTCACCTTTCCCCATTCGTATATCAGCTATCATGCTCCCTGCTCTTTCTCCCAATGGTTGCACAACTTTGTGTGATGCGCGCATCGTACGTGCGATGCCATGCGTCTGGTGCCGTGCCGGTGGCTTCGAAGGCGGTTACGAAGCTGGGAGAGACTACGGGTTGAAGCGCCGGTAGCCAGGTAGTGGAAATGAGCATGCGGTGCGATGGTCTGGAGTCGTCACTGTCGGTCACCGTTGGTGTGTACCCTGGACGATGGTTAAATGCCGGGACCGTTCCTGCTTCCTAAGTTCCATATTCTCCATCCAACATTCCAAAACATTGTTACACCCTCCTAGGTAGCGAGCTGGCATCATCCTCCAACACCTAGCAAGAGTATTCTCTTCAAGACCCACATACTTTCTTCAAGACCTCTTGTTGTTCCAACGATGTACAGCCGTAACCTTCTCATCGCTGCCTCTTTGGCTGTTCTCACACTTGCTGCGCCAACCCCGGCAACCGATGTGAGTACCCCTCAAACTTTGCTACCTCTTTACCAATATTGATCACCCTCAGATTGTACAACGTGGAGAGGCCGTGGCTGAGCGACGCAATGCCTTCTCTTTGACCGGTCTAGTCCGTGATGTTCTCAAACGACATGCCTTGATCGAAGCCGTTCCAGACGCCGCATACGACATCGTCATCGATCAGAGAAGCGAAGACGTCGACGACGACGACGAGGATATGGTAGAAGATGTCGATGTAGATGCTTCCGAGCAACTCTCCGACGATCTGGAGGACAGAGGTCTCCAGCGTCATGGCGGTGGTGGAAGCAAAAGGGGTCTTCAACGTGGTGGCGGCGGCGGTAGCAAGAGAGGTCTTCAACGTGGTGGTGGTGGCGGTAGCAAGAGAGGTCTTCAACGTGGTGGTGGTGGCGGTAGCAAGAGAGGCCTTCAACGTGGTGGTGGTGGCGGAAGCAAGAGGGGTCTGCAACGTGGTGGCGGCGGTGGAAGCAAGAGGGGTCTGAGCCGACCCAAGAGCGGAGGAAGTAAGTGAGCGCACGAGCATCGTTCCTTGTCGGTTTGTAAAGTACTAGTTGTAATTTCCTTAATTCTTTTGTTCATGTTACTTCTGAAGAACACTGGATGTTCTTAGATCCAACCCGGCGGAGGTAGATTGGGTTTTGGCTTCGCTACGAATGGGGAGAAAAGGTTTCCAGATACTCTCCAGCCCTGATTGGGCTGCAATTTGACCTTGAGTTCTTTTGCTTTGGCTCTTGGGGTTCCTGTGCTCGAAGATCTTGTGATCCGTTGCTGCATTTCATCTGGCAGACCATACAAGAGGGTGGCGTATGCCGAAGTCTTCCATACTCCCACACGATCGCGTTCCATCGCTGACTTAGCCACAGTTGCCGACAAGAAAACGAGAGAGATTAAGAGAAGACCAATCGGCAGAGTGAGCCACTCCCATCGAACCGAAACGTAGTTCTCCTGGTTATACGCCTTACCTCCAAGCATGTTTTTACTTTCATCGGAGGATCGTACCACGTTCGTCATAGCAGTAGCGAGTCTCTCGAAATGATGAGTAATGTTGTTCGGTGCTAACAATGGATTGAATGCGAGCTTGCGCATGGATGGGCCGTCCGCGAAGTTCTTATACCTCAGCATCGGTTTCTCCGTTGACGTCGCGGCAGTGTAGTAAGATGGGAAGAAATCGTCGAAGATAATGATGACGTTCGAAGCGGTTGTGTTCGACAAGTGATAGGTATCGTTGAATACGACGCCGGTTGTCAGATTCCGGCTTGACGGTGGTGGTGTTATGTTGATATCGTCCGCATAAATGGTCATGGTGGCGTTCTCTCCTTCTAGTTCCACTGGCACGCTGGTCCATGGGAAAGGTCCGGACGTTCCGTTGAGGTAGGTTGATGTGACATTCTCGTCGTAGCTTCCCCAAGCATACGATGACTCAATAGTCTTCACACACCATGCTAGAACGCATTCATGTATGACCGGAGTTTCGTTACGGTATACGCCAGCAGACCCACCATCGACAGAGGCAATCAAGGCATCCAGAATAGGATTGCGTACGTGCCGGAAGTTGATAGAGCCTTGGAATAACGAAAACCTATCGAGCATGTCCGTAAGCGGAAGGGCGCGCATGATGAGAGCTTCGCCCTTGATGGGTTCATCGTCGGCATCATCAAGGATGTAACCCGACATGAGAACGGGCGCATCGCTGGTCTTGTTGAGAAAGTAACCACAGACTGTCGAATTCGGGTACTTGTCAACCTCTATTGGGCCCGTCTGGTTGGCGCTCCAATCAATGCGAGTGTAGATGCAATCCCACTCGAGTAGCGGGGACACGTCGACACATTCGCTACAGACGCCTAACGTCTCATACGGGGGCCAAGTGCAGTTGCTCGTGGGACAAGAAAGGGGTATCTCGGGCCTCGTTCCATTACCGAAAGGTACAGGCTGTGTGCCGTTGTCAATAAAGAACTGACTGATAACGGGCCTAAGAGCAGGGTCTCGAAAATTCATCTCAAAGCCTTGGAAAAACTCCGGAGTATAGAACGGTGTGTAAGATGCCACCTTTGGAATGAGACTCGCTGTGTCTTGAAGGGCCCACCTGTTGGGGAAATCGACCACTTGCTGAAAGAAGGGATCCAAGGCCAAAGAGCACAGCATGATCATGGCTCCTAAAGCGGCTAGTGCCCGTCCCTTGGTTCGTATTAATAGTAGGAAAGAGCCCCACGGCCCTCTGGATGCGTTGTCGAAGATCTCGAAATCCCACATTTGTTTTGAGTGTTCCAAAAACCAGCTCCATTTCAGCTGGCCAAGGGCTTCAGACACTGGTAAGATGAGGGCGGCACCGGCCATCTTGGACAGAATGGAGATATAGGCGTTCAAAGTCAAGCCAGTCTTCTCAGCCAAGGCCCACTTTGTCAATGGTTCATCCTTGAGCCTGATAAGTACACCGATCACGGCGGCCATACAGATCGCGCTGAACAGCCAACTGAGTACTTCCAGTAACCATCTCTTCAAGATGTTACCAGATGCACTGTATCTCCATAACGTCTCTTCGATACGTTGTGCGATGTTGGCCTCCGGGTTGGACTTTTCGTTGATCGGCGGCGAGATCTCGATGGAGGGAGGCTTAGGCGGCCCATTGAGAATGCCTAACCCAGGGTGATTGTAGTAGCTGATTGGGGTCTTCTCGTTGATGGAAGGAACCTGCAGGGAATGAACGGTGTCAAGACGGACTCGAGGGCGTTCAGTCGGGAAGAAGCGAAGAGTCGGTCGCCTAGAGTCAGACTGGTGCTGAATCTCCGGTGGTGGTTCTGGAATGGGCCAGATGACTGACCGACAACTGGAAGTCTCGATAGTGGTTGTGGGGCTCGGCTCGGCCGGGCTGATGGGTGGCGCATTGATGTGTGACGGGCTCAGGTGTGTCGGGCGTTGAGGAGGGATGATGTCTGGTGTGGTTGGCGTAGTTGGTGTTGTACCATATGTCTTTGCTGTGATGCGTTCATCGCCGGTATCCAGGTAGATTGGAATGTCTGGAAAAGCAGGCGAACGCATAGGAGTGCGAGGAGATCGAGACATGTTGGGATAGTAACCTGATGTGGAAATCGGGTAAGGCATTAAAAGAATACGTGAATACGAATTAGGGTACGTAGATAGTGGAGAAGGATGGAAAGATGTTGCTTCGTACAAGATAGTAGAGCAGTGCCAGACTGGAGAGAAGCTGTAGGCTGATACCAGGTACTTACCATCGGTGTCCATCACCATACTATAACAACATCGAGCTGCAGTATTAGCCTCCACAGGCCATTTCCATGATTGGAGGCTGCTCGAAACATCAAACAGCACTGTTACTGCGGCGTACATGCAAACTATGCCTTCGTTCTGGAAACCGGTGCATTACCGAGCAAACGCACCATTCACGGCACGAGCTAGCCGCAAGGACCAGACCCAACCTCCAGAAAAGCATGCCAAGAAAGGCGGCTGAAAGCCATCTCCACGACACCTGCGTGCGGCGCGGGCGTCGGGAGCTGTCAAGCCGGGTCACCGCTGTGGGTGTAGCCGTACAGAGCATGTGTATAACCGCTGGGATGGCCGCATGGCTAGGCTAGCGTATTCTCGTTGCCGCTGTGGTATTAAAACATATGCAGCTAGGCGTATTCTTAGCTTTTGGCCCCTCCATGAGGTCACGTTTCGATGACGATGCATCAATGAGGCACAGTCGTATAAGCGCTTCGAGCCTCATCGGACGCTGCAGCCAGTGTAAGGAGCGCGGGGTTGGGGAAACATGTTGGTTTTGCTCGGTGAGCGAATGGCGATGCCGCTTTCCAGCCTCGGGGGTATCGCGTGAACTCGCGCGACGTGGGTGGTCGAGGTGGTGGTGGGTGAACGACGGCCTCGGGATGTTTCGACAAACTTTTGGGGGTTCAGATAGCGGGGTCGCGCTATCGTTAAGCGCGGGGCCGATAACCCCACTTATTAATAGCCACCTATTAGCGCCGCGGAATATTTAGCCATGCGTCTATTTTTCGAATATTCTACGTCGCGTCTATCGTGCATTTGGCATCTCGGTGCAAAGCAACCAACGCATGCATGCATGAAGCAAGCTTCACGTGACGGCGTCTCCCAGTGTCAAGCAGGGGTGTGACAACTGCCTTCCTCTGGAGTAGCCGAAGCATATCAGGTGTGTTATGATGGACCATCGCCTGACACCTCGTAGCTAGCCTACCTCTACATCCAACACTTCGCTTACTGACTTGATACTACGGTGGCTTGAGGCTGAACATGTCATTCGTGTTTTCTAGTACTGACACGTGTACTAACACCGGCGTACGCTAAATCCAGTCTGCCGGGTCGCGGCTATCAAGGCTGCATTGCGATCGTTGCGTACCCTCACTGGCCAAGCTTATGCCCATCTGTTGTTGTTTCAAAGCCGCCAGATTCCCATTCGTTCGGAACATACCCCACAGGTCCCGATCAGTCGGAGATCTGTCTTCTGTAGCCGCTGTCGCTTGATCGGTGTCATGGTCGCATAGAAGAGCGAGTCATTGGTGCGTTGTGTTGTCGAAACAAACTTATGGATGGAAGTGGAGATCCGCGCAGTTTCCAGCCTCTTCAGGCGTTGTATGCAGGGTATGGTCTGATATGTTGCTGCGCCGCATGCTACATTGGAACGTTGAACGGGCAGACGGGCAACATTGCAAAGGTGTTGAGCTGATGTCAGCCATGGCTTCATTAATATTGCACGACCCCGAAGTGTTCATTGCGAGCCACAATGAGCGATGCAAGAAAATTCACACGGGAAAGGGAGGACTAGTTCATGATTCATTACCGGAGACAACCGCGAGCAACACTGACTTGTGCTGAACAGCCACAAATTGTGCATCTCCATCTCCACTATTTTCGTCCACGACCGTTTCATACCCGCTCGAAGGAATGCGGCTCACTTCCAAGCGGCCTCAAAACCCGCCTTGTGAGCGCCAAATGCAACGTCATTTGCAAGATCTATCGACCTCAGTCCCAGCCACCACTTTACTTGCGACTTAGGCCTTCTTGTCTGGCGCTTCATGAAGCTCGATGGCGTTGCTATCCTGACCCATAACCTTGGCGGTGGTTGCAGCGAGCGCATCGGCATCATCCTTCTCACTTTCAAACAAGAAAGTAAGCTCTTCCAATGTCTTTCCGTACGTTTCCGGGAACAGGAAGTAGATGAAGACAATCTCGCAACACAGCAAAGCGATGTACACGAAGAGGAACTTCCAGTCAAGGTCTTCCAGTCCGATGGGATTGGTGAACGATCCAAGCATGACGGAGCAACGATTGAAGAGTTGAAACCATGAGAGACCCTTGGTTCGGACGTAGTACGGGAAGATTTCGACCATGTAGACATATGTGAGGGCATTGTAGGCGATGTTGTAGGCGGGCTTGTAGAGAAAGATCATGACCAGAACCGCATAGCCTGTCTCTTTAGACCCAGTCTGGCGATTACGAGCCTGAGCAATGGTCCAAGCGGTATACACGCACAATAAGCAACTCGCGCACAGCAGATACATCCTGCGACGTGGGTATCGGGGTGTGACAGTTGCCATGACAAGCGCCATGAGGAAGCCCCATGCTTCTGAGCCGACGTTGTAGCGCACCTGGGTATGACTATCTTCAATGCCGATCTTTTCCAGGATAGGCACAAGGTATTGGCTGATGAGATTGTTGCCGCTGTACTGGACGAAAATGCCAAGGCCGGCGGCGACAAGGGCACGGTGTCGCATGCCTTTGGATTGGAAGAGCTCGGCCCAGCCACGTTGTCGCGATTCGTTCTCCAACTCCAGGGCTTTCCTGATCTCAGCAATCTCAAGGTGAGGTAGCTCAGCCGATGCATCGCCTTCCGCATGGTACTTGATCAAGATCTCAAGAGCTTCTTCGCTCCGATCTTTCGAAACCAGCCATCGAGGGCTTTCCGGGACCGTGAAAGCGAAGATGATCTGGATAACAGAAGGGCCTGCTTGGAGGATGGAGGGGAGGCGCCAAGACCAGTCGCTCGGAATGAGTAGTGTGCGGACGACTACACATCGGAGCCAAGATCAGCATGCATTCATCTGCCTTCGATGGAGGGAACTTCTCACCGATACCCGCACCGAGAACGGAGCCTACTCCAAAGAATGCATTGAAGAGACTACCTAGAAACTGTCGCTCTTTGGGATGGCCTAATTCGCCGAGAAGAGCGGCGCCGGAGATAATTGCATAGACAATACCATGGCCAAGGAAAATTCGACTGAAGATAAACATGGCGACTACATGTATGTCAGTTGCAAGGATCTCTGAATGCAATAAGCATGCTGAAGGTACTCACGGTTCTGCGACAAGCCCTGCATTACTGCTCCGATGATCATAATCGTGGACCCCAAGACGATACTCTTCCGCCTTCCAAGATGATCAGACACGATGGAAACGAACGGAATACTCGATATAGCGCCGAGGTTGTAGCAGGCGACAAGTAATCCGAGTTGGCCTCCTTTGGGATGATTGAAGTATTCTTGCCAGTAGTGGAGAGCTTGCACTGATGACGTATACTGGATCAGTGTTTCATCTCAAGCAGCGCTGTAGTAATAACTACTTACTTCCATTCATCATCGAGCTATCAAATCCAGAAGTAGACTCAATGAAGAAGCAGAAAGGTACCAGCAATAGGTAGAGACGTCGGAGGTTTGGCTTGTTCCACCATCGTACCGTATCGGCGGCGACAAGACGCTCGATGATACCGTCACCAGGGCCTGCAACTGCTGGTGCCATGATTTTTCCGGTTGAGATAGGTACTCAGTGTAGCGTCAGGATGGCACTTTCTCAACTTACATACTCGAAGCCAAGCACCTCACCGGTTCAAGGAACCGTCGAACCGACTAAGGGATGCTGGATCTGCCTCGCTTTCTTCTTGGCTTTGCGGGGTTTGTGCCCGGTGGTACGGTTGACGCATCCTTCATGATAAAGCATGACCGTTGATCAAAGGAAATACGAATGTCTGTCTTGCGACGATACAGCCACCACCAAGTCTCATTGCTCCATACCTGGAAATATGAGGCTAATTCTCTCTGCCGTGCGGATAAATGCCGTGCTATGCTAGTCTGCCTTACTCAACACCGTCAGCTTCAATATCAAAATCGTGTACTCAGGTCCGTGAATGTGCATGCAGGGCTGGACTCAAATGACCCGATGCCCGACATAGACCTCAGCACTAGCCATGTATGGCGCGGTCCGTGGTGCAACAGGTAAGGTTGAATGCGGGGGAAAATCTCCTGCCCCTCCACAAGTTCTTTCGCACAGCATCGCCAACTTCTTGACTGATCTGGGCGACGAAGTGCGAAAGAGGCTGGATCGGCGGGCCAAAAACCCGGGCATTCTTCAGGCGGAAGACATTGTGCGGTAGTGCCGCAACGGCAATCGATTCGCAGGCGGGTCTCAGCAGGAGCTTGCACCATTCCACGATGCGTATCCTGCTCAGCAGCATTGCTCTTCGTCATGTATGTCGTTTCAAGCCCTGAAGTAGATGCTGTCGCGTCGGAGAGATGACGTGAAAGGCTTGACGCGCCTGCCATTAGGGGCCGGCTCTCCTCGTGGCGCACAGATCACCAAGCCACACCTTCCGGATAGCTCCAGCCTCCTCAAACTCCAACACTTTCCATCATCATCCCACTATGACTGAAGCGGTGCGCGAATCCGTCCAGCACTGTGGTAAATACACTGACATTGCGACCTGGAGGTTCAGTTGAATCCCATCGCATGCGAGAATTGCAGATCGAAGAAGTGCAAGTGCGATCGGAAGCTGTGGGTAACCCGCATGCCAGCTGCAGAACTTCATCTAACCAACACAGTCCATGCTGTTCTCAGTGCCAGACATCATCGCTGCCATGCCACTATCAAGAGGGTGGTAAGCGAGGTCTTCCAGCCGCATACATCACTGCTCTTGAGAAGCGGCTGGCAGACACCGAGGCTGCACTCTCCGCAACACTCACTGTCGTCCAAAACCAAGACTTAATACGGTTGAACGACGTTAGGCTTTCAGATGCATCATCGCACGCACCAAAGCGACA